CCGCGATTTGCTGGTCATGCATCTCTCTCATCTGTTGCATGGCCATCTCCATCTCGAATTTGAAAGCTTCCTTCTGCCTAGCCAGGGCATCTTCAAGCATCTTGGTTACTTGTTCGGCGCTTATCATGAGTACCTCGCGGGGTTGTCCCTCGCTGGATACCGTGTTGTCCGATGCAATCGCAGAGCAGGCATCTGATCCTTCGTCTTCTGACGGTAATCTCGTCCGAACCCTACTATAAGTCCCTCGTGTAATGGTTCCAGACTGCAGACGAGTTAAATACCAGGGTACTAGCGGAGTTGACTCGGGATTATCCCATGTCGATGCCCTTTTGCTGGTCATATTAGTGGTGACCTTCGGAAATTCTCCGTCTTCGACTATCCTTCTTCTTCGTCGGAAACGCCTAGGCTTGGTCTCAGACGTTCCGGTGGAAATTCTCTCGAACACCGAAACTCTCCTTAGGGCTTTAGAACAACAGCATTCCGACAATACCGCCTTGATTATGGTGGCACACGGACAGTGAGGTTCCGTGTCTCGAGCATCTCTCTTTCGAGACTTACTCGCACCCCCAGTCTTGACTGTTGTTTGGGGACTTTTCAACGATCCCAATCGCTCCTTGACGGGTGCTTTACCTCGATCTTCAGGATCGAGGCGACCCTTCAAAGGACCCCTGGATTTAGTGAGATCCACGTTCTTTCCTGACTCCGTCGGAGGCGCGGGTACAGGGGAAACGGGATCTGGATTTGAAATAGGCTGGACGATAACTCCGCCCACTTTTGCCTTAAATGCTGGTTTTGTCTTTGGCACCCAAACTTGCTTGCGCTTAGGCGACTTCTCCACTGCTTCTCCCCTCTGCATTTCTTTCGCTTTCTGCAAAAGGGCTCGGGCATGTGCGAGCAATGCTCGACGCTTCTTGATTCGCTCCTCGAGGGTGGAGCGGGTCCTCTTGACACGAACCCATTCGTTCGTTTTTGTCTTGGAGGAGGAGTTGGTTGTTCGCCGTTGTTGTTCCCGGCGCTGCCTGGATTTTAGATCCACATTATAGCGGATCCTGTCCATCGGCTCCAAGGCCTTGACCAGCTAACGAGCAAGGTGTTGACACCGTCTTTGGCGTGCTTTCTTTGACAATGCTGGAGCGTCTTCAGTAGCCATCTTCTCGGCGGAGGAGAAGTCCGGATCTGCGGTCTCGACCACGTTGGACGACGCGGGGACGTCGCGTGGTGCGGGCGCAGCGGCGGCAATGGGATCTTGGATCTTCGAGCCGAAGGTCCCGCGAACATTTCTGGAAGAGGATGCCTTCCTGCGCCTGTTCGGAGAGGCGGATCTGGAGGAGGAGGAAGAGAGGTACTCTTCAAACTTTTGCTGATCGAACTCATATTCGATCTCTTCATTCACCCGGATCTTGAATGCCGGTTGCGTCACGACGGCCTCGGCAGCGAGGCCGTTGGCTCCCACTGTGGTCGCCAGCTTGTTTTCGTCGAAAGTTGCCTTCATCATCGATTTCATTAGAATTTCAAACGTTTACAAATGAATTTAAATAATGAAAATAAAAAATTATAACTTTCTTGAAAATAAACGCAAGATCCGTTTATCATCTCTTGCTTGCGTGGGTCTTTGGCCTGTGACGGGGACGTCGATATCCGTGGACTACCTGGCAATCAGATCTGATCCAGAAAAATTGGGCAGAGCTTTGTCGATCCGCGAGGAGATCTAGAAGCTTGAAGCGCCTATCTCGGCTAAAGCGAGATATTTGCTCTTCTTAGGATTACCGGCGAAGGGTAATACTAAGGAACGGACACGGGTGATGAAGAATCTGATGAAGACCTCTCCTCTGTTGAAGCGCTCGACCACTCTTCACTGCAGCAGGGCTTCGCCAACTCTCCAAAAAATCCAGATCCTCAAAAATGAGGCCTAAGGTGGGGTGTCTAGGCTTTTCCTAGACACCCCTGGGGTGTTTCGACTTTCCCGAGACACCCCGGGTGTCCCAACTCAGCCTGAGACGCTCCGTTGCGTATGTTTGATTGTTTTCACCTAAAATTCTTCATCCGAACTCGGATTTGAGTGATTCCAAGTGTATTGGAAGCTTGACGAAGAGTTCGATCCGCTCTGGTGGTTGGATTATCTGTAGAGTGATCGAGACATGAAGGGCATTGTTCTTTTTGTGAACATCGCCGGGTTCCCGATTGGCCCGTGCCTTCGTCGAAATCTTATCAGCTCACGTAGTTCGTCGATTCACTTCAATCGTTCATCGATGTCAATTGGACTCCTGTGGATCAGATAGTGACGTTCATCGTCGCTCTTTAACACTGAACCGTTCGTGGAGACCTATAGGCTATTTTCGATGCCTACAGATCCCGGTTAGCTTTCCTTGTGAATGTAGAATTTTCATTCCTTTCTCGTTCATGTGTCCCAGCCTATTGTGCCACAGATCTGTACTCTCCTTTCCAGCTGCAATTGCGAGGGTGTCACTCGCATGTGAAGTGAGGTAGAGAGTTCCCGTTTTATTGCCTCGGGCAACAACCATCGTACCGTTGGAGATTCTCCACGAATCCCCGGTAAATGTCGAAACGTAGCCTTCTGCTCCAAGTTGTCCCACCGAAATAAGATTCCTCTTCAGGTTCGGCACGTGTCTTACGTTCTTTAAATTCCACTTAGAGCCCTTTATCTGTATCTGAACGTCGCCCTTTCCAACAATATTACAAGGTTCATTGTCCCCTAAGTATACCTTACCAAAGTCCCCTGCTACATAGTTCTGAAGTAGTTTCTTATTAGCAGTGGCGTGGAAAGAAGCTCCTGAGTCGATGACCCAAGAATCAGAATCGCTATCCATAGCAAGGATCAAGGCATCCTGCACGATATGAGCCTCCTGCTCACCCGCATCCTTCTTTGGTGCTTTACAGACCGAAGACATATGACCCTCCTGGCCGCAGTTCCAACATTTCCCTTTGATAGACCTAACCTTCGAGTTCGGCCTCTTCTTCACTGATTTCGACCGATTCCTGTTCTGGTTCCCTTTCTTCTGGCTTCTGCTTCTCTGCTCGAAACTTAGGGCTGAACCTGAACCTTCTGATTCGGACGATTTCCTTCTAACCTCCTCGGATAGAATCTTGCTAACAACCTCATTCAGCTTCAACTTCTCCTTCCCCGCCAAATTGCTGATTGCTGTCACACAACCTGCCCAACTATCCGGCAACTGCGACAGTAGTAGAGGGGTCTGCACTTCGTCATCGAACGTGATGTCCATGGAGATAAGTTGATCAACAATCATGTTGAACTCGCTGAGGTGCATCGTGAAGGATCGTCCTTCTGCCATCTTGAGCTTAAAAAGAGTTTTGACTAGATGCACCTTGTTTGCTGCCGACGGTTGCTCGTACATCTTCTCGAGCGCTTCCATAAGCCCCACCGTCGTCTTCTCCTTCAGAATATTGTGGGCTACTGATTTGGCGAGCGACAACCGGATTTGCCCTAGAGCCTTCCTATCCAGTACCTCCCAATCACCATCAGACTCCTCTTTCTTCTTTCCCTTTTCCTTGCCCATCAACGGGCGATACAAGTCCTTCTGGTACAGATAGTCCTCCATCTGTGACTTCCAGTAGGCGAAATCCGATCCATCGAACTTTTCAATCTTTGATTTGCTTTCCTCTGCCATGGCTTTCACACAAATTGCTGAACGAAGCTCTGATATCAGTTGTTGGGGATTCGAAACAATCAATCGAACCCTTGCCCTTCCGGACCTTGTGTTGAAAGTAGGAAAGTAGGAATAAAACCATAAATAAAGATCTAACTTGCAAAAAACAGTAAGGGAGATGAACACACAGATTTAACGAGGTTCGGCAACGTGCCTACGTCCTCGGGAGCCACACCACACAATCTTTTTATTAATTGAAGAGGAAAACACAAGCTCTCAAACAAGGGGTTAATCTTTCTGAGATTCTCTCTCTTTTTGCAGTCAAAAAGCTCTCTCTTTGATGTAGTACAAACCCTAAAATCGTTTGGGGTATATATAGAATCCTGATTGAAACAGATTCCTAAACAGAACAGGAAACTGTCAAAACTACGTCCGGTCGACCGATCAGATTCCAGAGAGATCGTCGGGCGACCGGCGCGGTCGACCGATGGCAAAACCCGAAGCAGTTTTCTCCTACAGGGTTTGGCGGTCGACCGGGCCGGTCGACCACGACCTGATCCTGGCCCTCCTTTGCTCCTGTGCACGTTTGCGGTCGACCGACCCGGTCAATTGCCGATCTGTCTGTTCATTTTTCTGAGCTTTTGATTCCAGCTTTCATCTCGAACTTTGGGTCTACACCTTAGACTAACAATTAGTTCTGAAATGAGCGAGGATGTGAAAATGGTGATGCACTAAGATATAATTATCTTGGTTATTTAAGTTTGAAATTGTATCAATATGGTATTTCAACCAATCTATCCAGGTATTATTAGTAAATTTGTAAAACTTTTTGAATCTTTTATGGTGAGTATGCTTGAGACAGAACACGCGTATGCATCCTCTTTGATATTAAGACTGAAAAATTGCCTGAGCGCATTCCAATTTTCATATTTCATTATGCCTTTGGACATCGAAGTGTAAACTAAAGCAAATGGGTAGAGATACAATTGAAGACTAGAATTAGTCTTTGTTATTATCCTAAACTGGTGTTATACGCAATAGCATCATCCTGCATATTGATGACATATAATTTTTGTTATTTCTAGCAATATAATTAGATTAGGGAAAAGAGGATAGTTGAAACCTTCCTTTCTCATTAAAATCCTATAAATAGCTTGTGATTTTTGTAGGTGCAGCAATTAATACAATCAAACCAGAAGGAGAAAGAGAGTAAAGGATCCATAGAAGAAGATGGCAGATTTTGCCTCCAAGCATACCGTGGTAAATTTAACTGATACTCAAGTATATAATTTTTTTTTTGTTATAATTAACGAAGGCACGTTACTTAGAGATGGGTTGCTGATTATGGAGATATAACACTTAATTGTTTTTAGACTCAGCTTAGGAATCTCGTGGACATGTTGTTATTTGACTAACTTTGATCATGATGTTCTTTTTCTGAGAGCTTAATTAAAGATCAACGAGAAGCCGCTCATCATGGAGGTAAGAGGACGTATGTACTGAAAAAAAATTCACTCTAGGGGTCTATCTGCAACAATAGAAATGTAAAGAGTCTGTCCGCAATTGGACGTTAGTACAAGGAGTCTATCCCCAATTATTATTTTTTTAAAATAAAAGAAAACTGATCTCGTTTGATTATTATTTCTACTTTAATTTTGTGCATCTCTTAAAAATTTGAAGATGGCTAAGGATGCTAAGGAAAACAAGGGACTAACCATTTACCCGAGGGACCTTTCAGTCACGTGGGGAAATGACGCTAGGTACTGGAAATGGTTCTGGCTTCTCTTTGAAAGGTAGCACTCAATCAAAGTTTGTGCTTTAAATACCACTGTACATATATCTCATTAAATTTGAAACAATCAAACTTTTATATCATTATGCGCAGCGACGACTATAAGGTTATCGAAATACCAAGGCTTCTGAATGTGTGTTGGCTAGAGATCTCAGGAAGCATCTCTATGATGTCGCTTAGGATTGGACTCAAGTACGAAGTAGCGTTTGTTATTATGATGAAGAGTCCAGAGGGCTGGGAGAATTCTCCGGTGACCCTAAGGCTTGATTTACCTGATGGTAAGCCTAGGGTTCGCGATATCGATTTGAGCACTGTCCCCACTGATACATGGGTGACGATTCCTGTCGATGTATTCACCGCAACCACGACTAAAGGGAGAGTTGGGTTCTCGATGAAGGAGATTACGAGGCTACTTTGGAAGAGGGGGCTCATCATTAAGTGCGTTGTTGTTCG